GTGCCATGAGAAAGCCAGTATGTACATTTGCAGTAGGCCAGCTGCTAAGAGGTAACTGTTTCAAGCCCTTTCCTTTTCTTTTCTTAGTACATGTGAAATAGATATGTGAAGTAGTATGTGAAACAGATTTCATCTCGTAGGTGAAAAGGAATAAACTACCTTGTATACTGTGAGTAAGAGTATACATATGGCCAGCTTGTATAAAGTAGCTGATTTGTTAAATTCACACCTTGGCTTACCCCATAGTAACTTGATTGCGTACCATACCTTAAGTTTAGGTCCAGCTGCTGTCAAAATCTTATGTCCCACTGATCAGTTGTTTTACTGTCTTCCTACTGTTTTGTGGTTCAAAAAGGATATTGCTTTTGGGTTGGTTGCAGGATCCTGCCGCAGGGATACCTCTTGGGCGGCTACAGACAGTCCCACTGGGGATCCTGAATACCAGGAGAGAGGCCTCTGTTCATGTGGAGCATTGCAAGGAAAGGAATAGCAAGTTATGTTTGCACAACAGCATCCAGAACCATTTGTCCCTGTTTCTTGGACAGATGCAGGTGAACATAACTTGGTCTTGTTCTTTTGCTGTTCCCAAGTGTAGAAGTTGTTAACAGAATCTCAAAAGTATGGGCATAAACATAACCTGGGAAAATGTTCCTTTAGCAATAGTAGGGTTTATTGCAGAAGAGGTAGTGCTATTTGGTTTTTTGCCTCAGTTTAACTTCATATATCTTCTTTTTTCCCTATTCCTGTGCTGGGCAGGCAAGGTAACAAGAGGTAAAAATTTGAGGAGAAGATTTAAAGCTGTGTAATAGTAGTGCTTAAGACTGCACTGTCTTACTGGCTTTCCTGCTCATTCATGATATTGCATAGGAGAAGACACGCGAGCATTTTTAAGTGAGGTCCACAATTGCTAAATCCTATCATCTGAAGAACAGAAATGGACACTTTTAAGGCCAAAACATTGAGAGTAGAAGTTGTTCCAGGGTGTTCTCATCGTCCTCTAAAACAACTTGAAGGTAGGACAGGAATGCCTGCTTAGTCGGGCAATAACAAGTGTCGCAGAGCTTAGCAGGATGAGAATGGGTGTTGCTTTTTCCTCAGCACACTGGAGGAGATAATTCACTAGAGGGGCAAATGTCTGTTCTCTGTGCTATGACCCAAAGTTGGACAAAAAGCATATGCGTTGACCTGCATAGGTGGTGCTGATGGCTATTTATTGTTAGAAAGATAATGCCCTTTTTAATCCACTTTTTTTAAGGGTGTTGGGTGTGTGGGTATTTTTAAGCATCTTTTTTTTTTTTTCTTTCTTTTCTTTCCTTCCTTCAGCACTGAACACGGTGTTGGCTGTTTGTAGATGAGCCGTAGATTTCCTGCTGGTGATGGCAGCTTTGTTAGTCACTTTATTTATGGATTTCTTCCTTTGCTAGTCAAGCAAATCAGAGGATATCTCTGGCTGCTTCTCTGGCTCCTAATCATTTAATCTGTTTATGCAAATAAAAATCGGTGTTTCTGCTCTTACGTTTGGGTTTATTACTGGTAACCCATGATGCTAGTCTGGATGCAGGGATCCTCTCTGAGAAATGGGGTAAGATTGGAGGGGGGAGCAGGGGAAATCGTAGTGATTCTCTATTCTAATCTCCTGAGTAAGACAAGCCAGAGAATCCAATTTCCAGTCCTAAATTTCCTCTGAAACTTCTGCACATCTCAGAGAGGGAGTTTAGGTTGACTGTAAGTGCTGGTGGCTCCACCACAACCCTAGGCGAGATGTTCCTGTAGTTAATTATCCTTTGGGTTTAATAATAATTTTAAAGCTTTGTTTCTAGTTTGAACTTGTCAAACTTCAGTGGTCAGCTATGGGATCTCATCGTGTCTTTTTTTTTTTTTTCCCCTGATTAAAGAGCCATCTGTTATCAAAAATCTTTCACATGTGCATAAGTATATATACTATTACCATCTCACTTCTTAAATTCATGGTTAAATTAAGCAGGATGAGCTTTCTTGGGGTTTGAGGCATGATTTTCAGACCTTGAATACTTCTGTAGTTATTTCTTGCATTTGTCCCAAGTTTTCACCTAAGAATGCCAGAAGGTGACATAGCATGTCACTAACAGTCTGGCAGGTGCTGTGTACAGAAATATTTTCAGCTCCCTTCATCTTTTTATATTTATCTCCTTGTAATTCGGAGGATTATTTACCGCTTAGCTGCAGACCTGCATGGAGCTCTCATAAAATAACTGTCTACAATGATTTCCAAATTCTCTTCAGTTTTTACTCTCCTAAGCATAACCAACCATCTCTGTTCTTAGGTGAACAGTTCCATATGGCACCAGGAAAAAACCCGTTGTCCAAACAACTCACCACTCCATGCATTTGTTGCATAACGTTTCCTTGATTATATTTATTGGTTTTCACCAAAGAGGCTTGCTTATGCTTGTCATTTAACAAAAAGTCATTCTCATATGACTTCCAGTCATTCCTTACACCTTTATATATAACAGTTGCCTCCTACTTAGTTTTCTTTCTGTTCAGGATGGGAAATTGTCCCTTTTAAAGCACTGTGTTATGTAGACCTGGTTTTTATCCACACACAGTGAATTAAATTAGTTTATAATCAACTGAACTTTAATTCTTGATTTCTAATTGAATTCTAATATACTTTTACCCTTGCCTAGCTGCTGTGATTTTTTTTTTCTAAGAAGTTCATCACTTGTATTTTTCAGAAACTTAAAGATATTTTGTTGAGGAAATCTACTGGTATGCATTCCCTTCCTGGAGTCTTTCCTCTCACGTCATATTTATGTTTGAAAGGGCTCTTCATCACATTCCTTTCTGACTGAGCGGTTGACTGCAGATCTGTATTGATACCAAGACTGTAATGTGTCTGTTAATACATTGACCCATATCGACTCTATGAGCAATCACTTTAAAGCAGATAGTGGTGTCTTTATTATACCACACTACTTCCCCATCTCTTCTGTCTGCCCCAATGCTTTTTAACTTTGAAGTAATTTGAAAAATTCTAGTAGGCTTCAGAAATTGTATCGAATCGCACTTATCAGAAGTGATTTTTTCTGGCTCTGTTCATTATCCAGGTTTCCACTATTGGCATATAAACAACTGGTTTGTTTTCTTTGCATCCTTTGACGTTTTCATGTTTTAGTTTTGAATCTTATATTCAGGTAATAGTATCATATCATATCTTCTGAGTGTCCTCCCTAATAAATACTAGTTGAAAGCCCTGCAGAATAATCTAGTTTGATTGCCATCCAAATTAGGCAGTCCCACTAGAGAGAGACTTCCAGGGTTTATGGACTTCAGTTTGTGGAGTGGGACAAATAATCCACGGGGTATCAATTACGTAGCCAGTGTTTAATCTCCTGCATCTTTTCCCATCTGTTTCTCTCATTTGGGCATCAGGAAGGGTTCCCAAGCAGTCTGTCTCTCTCCAGTTTTCAGGCAGCTTTAATAACTTAATAAATATTACTGAACATGGCCCAGGTCTACTACTGCGTTGTGTTCTGTGACAAACTGTGCATCCGTTCCTCAGTTTTTACTGTAGAAAACAGGCTCCTTTATTGCCATCACTTCATTCTCCAACTGAATAGGCAGTTGTCTTGTCTGAAAGTGAATGTACAACTCTCTCCTGCTGTTCAGGATCAGTGGTTGCCCATCCAAAGGGTTACTTTTTTTTTCCGAGGAAACTATTGACTCTTCACTGTGTGGGGAACCTCTGTCTTTGGACAGGACACAGAAGGTGGTACGTCCTTTGCTGGTAGTTGGGTCACTCTTGGCTGTTGTTGCTGGCTATAGGGAGCTGTACCTTTGGAAAGAAATTCTGCATCCCCTCTTGCAAAATGTCTCAAAAAATATCTCTGCCATCAGGTTTAACTCTTTGCTAATATAATTGCAGCAAGGGCAGCTACTCTACATGTAAGTGGAGTCAGTCTGGATACCGTTTAATGATTCATGCCCTAGAAAAACATGGTTTTCCTGTTTCTATAGTAGAGACATTGTTTCTGGCCGTCTGCTTAGAGCAGTGGCTTAGTGTTTGGGAAATGCTTGCAACTGAGGGCATCTGCCTTTTTTTTTTTTTTTACCATCTAGATTTCTTTAAAACAAACAAAAAACCCATCCAAAACAGGAAAAACCCCAAGCCTGAAACTTTATTCTCATATTTCTAGGCAGGAGATTAGGATATAGTTGCACATCTATAATAATAATGGTGATAAAAAACAACCAAACACCAAACCCACAGCTCAAAAGGAATAATAAATCAATGGCTTACTCAATCTCTTAGCATGTGAAACATTAATTAGCATGTTTTCTTAAGAGTTATATTTAATGTGTATGACTTCCTGAAAGTATACCAAAATATTGTTCAAAACAAAGGTAATAAATGCAGAGGTGTTACATAAAAAAAACTTAGGAGTTTTATTTAATGTGTATGACTTCCTGAAAGTATACCAAAATATTGTTCAAAACAAAGGTAATAAATGCAGAGGTGTTACATAAAAAAAAATAGAATGAAAAACTTCTTTACTTTATAAATCAGTTTTCACATGTCAAAAATCACTCAAAGCACTTAGAAATCTGAAATTATTCCAGCGTATGGAAATAAATTGGTCATAAATGATCTCCTGAAATATTAAGATGTTGCAGGCATACCTTAAAAAAACAAACAACAAAACCACAAAACAAACAAACAAGCAAAAAACCCCCAAACCAACAACACAATCAAAACTCCATAATCTACAAGTTCCTCATGTGCTCCTTTTCCTGCTGCCCACTCTCCCCAGGGTTTGTCATCTTGTGCTGTCAAGCGGGTCATAAGTCATAGCAGTGGTCACTGTTTCTAGGTCAGACAGTGACATGTTGGGAAGAGTAATTTTATAAGATGCACAGAAATAGTATTTCACTTTTACAGTAGGAAAGTACTGACTTGCTACAAATTACTGCATTAACTTCGCACCACAGACTCATTTCACTGAACTGATGGTAGCGACATGCCAGTTCTACAGCTGGTACGGTAATCCATCTCAATATTGCTTGAAAAGAAGAGGAAGGGAAAGGGGAATTTCAGGTTACGCATTTCCAGAGGTGGTAGGGGAAGGAACTGAACTGTCTTCGTAGTTACCCTAGCTGTTCTGCTATCTTTGTGGCTTATTACACGAGGCACTTAGCATATTTGCACCATTTTTAAAAGGTATTGTAATAGTTCAAACTGCAAAACCAGGCTAAACTGCTCTGTTTTTATTAGCATCATACTTTAGCATCTGAGCAAGGACATACACTTTCATAAACTGTTTTTTAACGAACGAGTTACCCTTGAAGACTTTTCCTACCACTCCTTGACTGTGCCTGTTAAAAAGAAGAAAGGCAACTAGTGAAAAAGTGATGGTAGGGAAGGGAGGCTTTTAAGAGAAAAATGTATGCATATACACGCTGAGATCCTGTAGATTGTGTGATTTAGATGTTACAAAACCTCTAATAATACTGTGGTGCAGGTGAAGTTGTTCTGTGGGCTGATGGTGACTAAAGTCTTTGTTTTCCATCCTTCCTAGAAATTAAGAAGCCACCGGTGGCCCCCAAACCAAAATTTGTGGTAGGACACAAGGCGACGCCTCCACCTGTTGCACCGAAGCCTGACCTTGTACTTTCTGGTGTTATCCAAGCAGCAAGGAAAACCAAGCCAGCAATTGCACCGAAACCAAAGGTTCTCAAGAGCTCATCCGTTCCAGAAGTTAAACCTCCTTCGTCTACAAGAAAAAGCACAAAAAGCTTTGAGGAGCACAGGGGAGATTCTTCTCAAACGCTAGACCACTTGAACTATAAAAATGAAGCCTTGGAAGGGAGTACTGATAACACAGCATATATTCTACCAATGTCATCTTGCAAATTTGAATGCCTTCATAAGCTTGGAAATGGGGACACCACCTGTAAAACTCAGATCATTTTCGAGCACTTGGAAAACTTAGAGAACATCAAAGTCGGTGAAAAAAACGCTCTAACTCTGGGGGATAGTCACAATGAAAAACTGGCAAATAGAAATCAGGTGGTTTTGAAAGCCAGCATTTTGGAAGAGAAACTTAAGGACGTTCTAACTCATAGTGTGTTTCCTAACAGCAGTCCTGTGAGGCGCAGGTATGCAGACAAACTTGACAAAGGGGATGGCAGCAGTTCCAAGAACAACCTTAAAATAGAGTTTATGGAACTTGTACAGTCTTCGTTGTCTTCTGAGGTAGCTATAGGGAAGCAACAAAATACCGACGGTAAGCTCACTGCTGATGAGTTTCAGATGTCTGAAATTTGTCCTAGTTTGACTGAAAATAACCACAGTTGCTCTTGCCCATTGGACCAGGAAATCCTGGAAAATGAAAATTTAAGTAGCAATAGTATGTTTTCAGGTGAAATGGGTATGAAAGCAGATGCTGATAAAACCTCCTCTGAAACATCTTCGGTCCTGAGCTTAAAAATGCTTCCTATCCCTAAGCCAAGAAAGCCACGTGCTGCATGTCTAGTCCGTCAGGATGGCATAGACACCACAGGAGAAGGAACAAAGGGACCATGTAATTCAGAGAGAGATTCCTTTGGGCTTGCAGAACAAAGCTTTAAAAAACCAGCAAAAATTAATATCCTTGGTCAAAGTGTTTGTTATAACAATAATACAGAAGTGCTACATCCTGAAAAATGTGAGATAACTCAAAGCAACATAGACAGAATGCATCAGGTGAAGGAATCTGCTACGGAAGAGTCAACTTCACAAAATCTTTTGCCTCACTTGTCACACAAAACTTCTGATTTGGTGGAAAGTGTTGAATGTTCTTTAGATGCAGACCATAACTTAGTTAACTCCTTGGATGAGATGACAGATGATACCAGTATGTTAGATGCTGTGGACAAAAGGACTAACTTTGTCAGGTGTGATACTTTGTCCATGAGTTTGCCAAAGCAACTCAAATTAACTAGCAGTCAACACTCATCTGCTTCCAATAGCCTCCATGTTTCCCCACAAAAATTGGAAGATAAAGAAGTTAAAATAAAGGATGAAAGTTCTCCAAAAATTGTTCCTAAAAAACCGCAGAGGCACAGCCTACCAGCTGCTGGCCTGCTGAAAAAAGCTGCATCAGCAGAGCTTGTGGAGAAAAGTTCTTACACCTCCAGTGAGGACAAATCGAACAGCGTTCTGGAAGGATCGCACTTCACATGTCCACCAGCCAAGGAGCAAGGTGTGCTGTCATCCTGTGATATGCCCAAACGTTCTTCTGAGAAACCCGTCTGGAAGTTACCTCATCCTATTCTTCCATTTTCAGGAAATTCTGAATCATTAAAAACTGCTAACATTGCTACTAGCTTCAACCACTTGACTGTTGTGACGAAGCCTAGGGCCAAATCTCTCTCTTCTGTGGACATGGAAAGGACAGACAAGCCTTGCAAAGACCATCAGAAGAAAAATAGCTTGAAAAAGTTTCTCAACATAAAACTGTCGGTTTGCTTAATGAAAAGCGACTTCCAAAAATTTCTGTCTAAAGGCAGCCAGTCAATGGATAGTGCTATTGCCAACCTTTCCACTGGGGACGGGTATGGAAGCGGTAGCAACCGGAATATAGCATCTGTAGGCAGTGAAAGGAAAGCTAAATCTGCCAAGGTGCATTCTGTAGAAATAAGTAGTCCGGCGTTACATAAGAAGAGGCAGAGAAACAGAAGTCAACCTGAGATGCGAAGTAACCAAAGGCTGGAGTCTTTAGATGGGCATGTACTTTCAGGAGAGAATTTGTCACAAATGCACTTGAATTCTGTAACCAGCACTTGTGCTCCAGAGTACGAGAACGTGCGTCACTATGAGGAAATACCTGAGTATGAGAACTTGCCTTTTGCTATGGGTGCTCGGAGGAATCTCTGTTTTGAATGGCAGAACTCCAGCAGCGTGGAAGACCAGAGCCCTGGCTTCTATGAGGTTGAGGATGCTTGTGAAGCTACAAACAGGCGTTTGAGACTTGGCAGGTAAAATAAAGAGAAAGGGGAAGTTAAACAGCTCCATTGCAACTCTGTTGGTTGTAAACATGTTTAGATGATGACTTGAGAGGCTGTACCCCTTTTGTTAAATGTCAGCAGGACAGCCGCTGCTGTATATCTTTACATGCTTTTGCTGTTTTGAAAACTGTTTGCACTTGGTAAAGAGTCAAGAGGAAAAATAAGCTAGTTATTCCTCATATATGATAAAAATTTGTGAACCTAATGTATGTGCTTTTCCAGATTTAAAGCAAATCAGATACAGTCATGTATTTGTATCCAAGAATACTTAAATGGGGAGGAACGAACCTTACCACAGTCTCAGGATGAACTTGAATAAGTGTCCATAGAGAGCATAGTTGCTAGGTTTGTAGAGGGTACGAATATATTTTTAGATCAGCTGATAGAGCTGGGAAAAGCAGACAAGCTTTTGACTATGCAAATTCTTCATCAGGTCTTGAAAGCTTTTCGGGTATAGCAAAAGATACTGCCTCTCCCTGAATATAGTGAATCTTCAGTATCTCCCTGTGCTGCTGGATGCAATAAAGGTAGTAGTAGTGCACGAGTTCTGTATGACTCACACAGAATATTACTGAAAAGACAGGGTTTGGTGACCCTGCAGGTTGCTGCTGTGTTTTGTTGTCTCAGGAGGTGGTGGACATATCAGGTAATATCAGCAGATTCAAAAAGGGATTGGACCGATTCAGAGATATATCCAAAACAGATGCATAATGGCATAGGCAGGAGCAGATCTTTTAATAGCTGTAATACTGTGATCGTGGATGCTGGGAAGAGGAATGGGCCACAAAGAGTGGCCAGGCTCATATGCTCTCCCTAAATAGCATCACTTACTGTGTCTGTCAGAGTGTGGTAACAGGTGAAGCATTGTTTTGACCCAGTATGGTATTATTTAACTTCTTAACTTCAGCTAATCAGTTGGTCTTGCAGATCCTCAAGATTTATCTCAAACCAGCAATAAGGATTTGAATGAAATATGCAGCCTGTATACTTCATAGTCCCCAGCAAACTTCTTTACACTGTTGAGAGTATATGCATATTGACAAGAATAAATGAGCTTAGCTTATAGATAGTCATATTTAACTTCATTTTTCACTGAGAGTTACTAAGCTTCATTTCATTTTGGATGTGTGTGCAGCAAACACGTGCTCCAAAGAATCCAAGAGCTGGCCATTCTTCAGGGGAGTGTGTCCTTTTATATAGGAGGAGACAAATTTTAAGTGGCATCCTGTGTTAATAATTGTTTATAGAATTGATATCCTCAACATTGGACCGTTTGATGGAAAGCATGAAGCCTTATCATGGGAAGTAGGATTTCTGGTTGTGTGCTTGGTATTGGTATATTTATTCATGTGGTTGTTGAGTATTTTTCTTGTTTACAGTAGGGTGTTTCTTGGTTTTGTCTTGGCATAGTTTAAGTCCCTGACTGAGTGTATACTTTTTGTTTAAATCTAATCTTTGGGTATCTTTTGGGGGTTTTGACCACACTCTTAGTATCCCATTGATTTGGTTTACCTAAGAAGGGTGAGACCAAACTTAAATAAGGATATATTTTATGTGTTTATGTGATCTATTTTGGTTTGTGTTGTGGTTCTGGATCAGGTAAATGTATGTCTGCTTTAAGAAAAGGACAGTTTTGCTGTATGAAGCATGGTAGGTATGAGACTGCAGTTGCTCTTTGAGTGAAATCCTGTAGTTTTCTCACCTGACTGAGTGCAAGAGGTTTGTAGTTATTCCCTCTCCACACAAACCTTCCCCCGTACCAATGGTGATTTAAGGGTTTCAGTGATCTCTTGCGCCCTGGCACATCTGCAACTATAGCTGCTCCCTAAGCTGGATGTTCTTGACATAACTGAGTTTGTGTTGTGTTTTCTTTAAAAAGCACACATAGAAAACCAGAACCCTTTATGTAAGTGTTTATTTTAAACTAAATTACGTAGTCAGAAGCTACCTTAGGAAACAATTAATGCATGCAGTTACTTCAGTAGATCTCAGGGAACAAAGAAATCCCTAGAAGAAAAAGGGACACAACGGGGCAGTAGTCTCCTGACCTGGATCAGCTGCTGCTGGAAGAGCAGGTATGGGTATTCATTTTGGCTCTGGCTTGGGAGGTGTAAGGGTCCTTGCCCGGACAGAGCCAGGCAGGCAGCTGCTCCAGTTTTCCCATCCATTGTTATCTCCAATCCTTTGAAGCTTCTTTATCAATGTCATCTTACCTTTTCTGATAGTTCTTTAAGAGCCTTTCATCATTTCCTGGGCCAGGTGGTATTATAAAACCGGTTAGAGAAACAGTGCTGATGTTATTGAAATAATTACTGCTCGCATTTTACCCAGCTTGTCAGAACACGCACTCAGCTCTTTTTCATATCATGGCACATGAAACTCCTGTAATGCACTGCTAATGGGGATCTCAAAACAAATTATCTTATGATTAAAGCCAACGTACAAATGAGATTGTTCTTCTGAGAAATTCATACACCAATTGTCTACACTTCTAGTCATAATAGCACATATGCAGTGTATTAAGTCTGAATTGCCAGGCTTGCCATTACTGGAAGAGTTTGGTGGTGTCTTTACCCCATGTTACATTTCTTTCTGGAGGAAGAAATAAAATTTTCATAATGTACCCAGTGCTTCGGTGGTTACTGAGAAATTTCCTCCGGATCCCATCTGGTGAAACCAGTATGCTTTAATGGAGAATGGTAATAGCTTCTGACACTCTTACCCTAAATTCATATGTCTTATTAAATTCAGATACATTTTGTTTGCTTGGGCCTTCCCACAGGGGTTTAAATGCAAATGGCGGGCCTGGGTAATTAATGGTGGGGTATCAGTTGTCACTTACCACTTGATTTTTGAGTTATTTGATGTCACCCTCCCTTCTACTGAAGGTGGGCTTGGCTTTGAAAGGAAGAGAACCAGGGTCCTGGTACGGTGTGTGAACCACTGAGGTGAGACAGATGCTGCTGATGGGAGACTGGTGGGTTTTGCTTGTTTTAAGTAGTTCGGGGTAATACTCTCAATAAAGAAAGTAATGACAATACATTGGGAACAGATAATCCATGTTTTGTTTCCACTGTTGAAAAAAGAAATCTCTTGAAACAGTTTTAAAAGATTGTTTATTTTGTCCTAGTCTACCTGTTTGACTACCAATTTAAAATAGATAAGGTGAATGCCCTGTTTGACTACCAATTTAAAATAGATAATGAAGGTGAATGTGTTATTATGAGAACTCTGTAAACAAAGTGCGTGAAGAATAGATGCTGTGGGATAGAAAATGTACTGTTAAATGTGAAAGAAGTTTTAAATATCATTATCCAGTTGCAGATAACAACAGGGAAAGCAGCTCTTTGGGTTTGTTTTTTTGAGAAATGAATGGTTCAGGCCTGAAAAGTGAGGTGAAAAGTCAGTGCTGCTGGTACCACCACAATTCATTTTAATGTTGCCAGAGACCAGTGGTTGACATGGTTCTGTTTTGAAGTAACACCATTTTTTTTAAAACCTCCTAATGAAGGAGAAATATTTATGCATTGGTTATCCTCTTTTTAGTGACAAACCTTTATTGTGAGGAGGACAGCAAAATCTTCCTTAAAACTAAAAGTAAAACGTGTCCAGTAATCGTAAAGATGCAAAGGAACAGTGAACGTGCCTTGGAATATCTGTCATGCTGCAGAAAACAGAAACTTAAACTTTTCTGGATCTTGTGGGCTTCCTTTTGGTATTTGTTACGTTGTTCTAGGCAAGAGAATTGTACTTCAGGTTGAGTGAGTCTGCTCCTTCACCCTTCAGGGAATAGCATACTGTATTTACTGGCTACTTTTGACAGTGTTCCTTCAAGGTGTTGCAAATGTACATGACTGCTAATTGATTTGGATGAAATTTATGGGGAGCCTGCAGGGGTACGGACACCACCGCAGTGTGTGGAGGGGGGGGGGGGGGGGGGGGGGGGGGAGTACCATGTGACAACAATCCTTTGAGATCTTAATGTTGGTTTAATTAAATACTGCTTCCTATTTTTCCCACCCCTGCTGATTTAGAATAATCCATTGGTTTTCCAGAAATGAACATCTCAATGCAAAATGTAAGTTTAGTTTTCCGGACTAAATTCTGCTTTGGTGACTGAGTCCCTAGAGGTCAATTAAGTGTCCATGAAAGCCTTCCTGGAGTATTGAGTTTAGTATTGAAATCTGTGTGGTTAAGCACTTTGCTTTGATACATATTCCTCTGATGTACTGAACTTTGTTAGAGTTGAGACATGGTTCTGATGAGCAGTATTGCACCAGATAAATGTAGTGGTGTTTAGAGATTGGCTACGTTAGGGAAGGGGGTTTTTTTGCAATTGCAAATTTCCCATTTAAAAACATTTCAAGAGAAACACAAAATTCATAAAATGCTGCAGGGTCTAAATAGCATTTAAAACCAGTTTTCAAACACTTATGCTAAGATTTGAATGCATGAAATACATTTTAGGTATTGAAGGTGTTATATTTATACATTAAAACCCACATTTTCTTTTTACTGAATTTTATTGAAGGATATAATTTCCTGATAAGTAGAGGCCAGGTTTGTAGATTTTTTTTTTTTAATTTCATCTGCTTCTTAAAGGTGATAATGGATTAGTTTCTGATCTGAAGAAGGCAGGTTCCTTTTCCTCCATCAGCTCTGCAGTCTTGTCCTGTCTTCTGATCTCCCGCTGTGCTTCTAGCTGGCTTCTGCCACCCTTAGTTGCACGTTAAATTCTTTCTCTGCAATTCAGGTTTTAACGGAATAGCTTTGATAATATGCTATTTAGGTTTCCTGTCAGGCTTCATTATCTTTGGTCATGTGTTATCACTGGTTTTCTTTTTGTATTCTGCTTCCTTGAGCCTGCCTTTTTCTTTTCCCCTCCCTACCTCGCTTTCTCATGTACGTGTTATGCAGCTGGTAGGCTTCTGCCAACTCCGAGGGCTTGTCAGTAAAGAGTGAGTCAGATG